GGCGCTCTAGACGAGAGTTTGTCAACCAAATTGGCGATTAATTGAAGATGGGCCAAATTAAGACCCGTAATCCCCGCCTGAACCTATTTTCTGAAAAGGAAGAGGTTATCGCCCTTATGTGTTACTCCGTTGCCGAGATCACATACGTTGTTCCCGAACCCAACGTAGGCGTATATAGATATATGGATGAGAAAGAAATGAGAGGTATGATTTAGGCTTGTGCTATTGGAAGTGTAACAATGATTTTAAAACATAATTATTATTTTATGTATTTATTTACTTAACCTTTATCATACACCTTTATTATACTAAGGGATACGAGTATAAAGGGCGGACTTAATACCTTAAAGCATTCTCTGCCAGTCAATCCTGGATTATTTTGGGATATTTGAGAAACTGTGGCAGGTGTAATCAATCACTTTATACATTTCATAAATAATTAATAAGGATATAAGATAAAATAAAATGCATATAAATAAAACATATAATCTTTTTAAATATCTAATGTATAATATAGAATAAATAGTTAATGTATAAATGGGTACTTCTTTACAAAATCTATAAATAAATAAAATATTATAAGCCCGGTGTATAATATTATGTAGTAATTATATAATTAGTTCTATTAAACGGGGTATATTTATAATTTATTATTTATATATATTCCAAGTTAGAAAAACAATTCATAAGATATTCTGTAATTTTATACCTATTATCAAAATACTTGCGAAAATACTTGACTTGGGTAAAAAATATTGATATTTCAAAATAGCGATAATTTCTCATAAGCATATCGATATTTTTCGATTAATTTCGAAGTATCGAATCCGTATCAATTTCGATATATTATAAAATGTAGTATTAACCGACAAAACATTAAGCAACATAAGTAGCTACAAAAGCATTCATGTGATGTTCGTTGTTTTATCGTCGTCCAACCGTCCAGTAAGACGAGTACCATTAAGTGGCCTTATCTTACTACATCATGATAAACATGACGATATCACAGGATAAATATCGATATAACATCATGTTTAAAAACGTGAATACGATATATATCGATATTCTACTACTCCTATTCTCCTAGCTCATTATACGTCACTGTTGAAACATTAACTAATGCTATGCTAGCAATAAATTGGGACAAATTCGTGAAAACAGACATACCCATGAAATTTGACGATCGTAAATCGAAAAGGACAAAACTAAATCCGGGCCATTTGAACGCTGACTGTTTTTATGGGTAAGCGATGTCGTAAAAACCTGTTTTAGGCGAAATTGCTTTTACAGCATCGAAATATGTGCGATTACAACCATCTATATCACGGACCAAGTTATTTTATTACCGACTACAAGGAAGAGGTATTCAATTCGACTGTATATTTTCTTCTATATGTATTAACCTCTTAATTTTTCTCTGGGTGAATCGATTTTGATGATTCTTTTTTTATCTGATAGCTAGTGACCTGCTCAAACTAACCCGAACAAACTTCAAAACCTTTATTAAACTAAGTTTGTATAAAAAGGGTTATTATAATATTAAGGAATTTAAGGATACCAAACCAACAACCCCTGGAAACGGTGATCGCTACCAAGCTATTTCTAATTTTTTTGTGTTGATTGTAACATACATGATTGTACGCTGTTATTTAGAAGGAAAAAATAGTCGCGGTGAGTTTCTTGCTGGGTCTTCACGGGACTGAGGTTTTTTCCGAACCAGTGGTAACTTAAAAAAAAGTGACTTTCAATAAGTATAATTTAATAAAAAGTTTCTGTTTGTGGAGGTTCTCGTGTGGTCTAATACAAATTTGATCAAGATCTGACCAGTAGGTTTTGAGTTATCTTTAATAATGCGTATCTAATTGACATCAAATATAATAATTGATTCGGTCGTATTGAAATCGGTTGTACAAAATTTTTAAGTTTACCACTTGTGGTTTTTGTGTCTTTACTTGTAATAATTTCTTATATTTACGCGAAAACTATACACATTAAATTAATTGATATTATAGTATTTAATTTTAGTTAGTTGTTTAGGTGTTTGGGTGTAGTTAGTTGGTTATGAGTATAATTTTAGTTACTAGTATATTTTATGTCTTTACTTATATTATAAAGTTAGCATGTATTACGTACTGATTATTTTAAAGAAGTATGAATGCCGAATGAGTACACAGTTCACCTGACACCTGCGATTAACTTCCAACAAATAATGACACAGATGATGTGCTGACAGATAAAATCACTCACAGATAAAATTACTCACCCCTACTTACCGTTGAATCCGTTTTGACTTTTTGACGTATGGTTTCGTTATATTAAGTAAATGTATCAGTATTGAGGTATAAACCATTGAAGTATTATGTACTATGTACTAAGAGCGACGACACCGAGAGGTGTTTGTTTGCAATACACGTTAGAGACCGCGGGCTCAAACTTAGTCAAGATATTACCCCTTTCATCCAAGACATACACCATAAATATATAAATCATACAGATACAGTATTTTTATACTAATGTTTTAACATGTGTAATGATAACAAATTAGTTTTAGATTTAGGTTTATGTCCTTCCCTTGCCATGAAATATGACTACGAAGTTTGACAAATAGCGAATTCTTTATTATAACTTCGGAGCTGTTATTGTGTCGTTTAGTTTACATTAGGCTGCCAGTGCCAAGAATATCATCTGTTGTCTACCAATGACCATTTCTTTGTCATGTAACGAGGAATATTATACAAAGTGCACGTTTTGTGAACTATACTAAGTTAGTTACTAGAAGGTGAAGCTGACTTAGACCTCGTCTGGGTATGCATTATATAAATTTATATAATACCCTCATAATATCACTTTTTTATAGGATAAGGGTAACAAACGAGCACACAGTCCATCTGAAGGTAAGTGTTTGCTGTGACCCATAAACATCTACATCTATCCTCGATTACGAATAAAAATGCAGATGCGCTGTCATGGATTGCCTCGTTTCCAGTAAAAGGGTCTCCGGTCCTCTACACTCACCATATGAAACACGGCATGGTATTGTGAAAAGGCGTGGTCCTTCCCCGGTCGAGCCGACCCATTAGTGCTACAACTATACCAGTAATATAGCTACAGCTTGGCTCCACTACGTAAAAAAATCATTCAAATTTCGTTCAAATTTAATTTCATTTTACCTCAATATAAGTGAGTGCTGTGGCCCATATTTTTAGCTGTCATCGATTAAAAATTAAAATACAAATGTAATGCCTCGTTACCCGGAAACATTGATTTATATTTGTATAACTCAATGCCCGGAAAATAGAATTTGTTTTTCGTTCGAAAAACAGCAGCATCATGCATCTATTTTTAGATATTATATAAAAGCACAGTCCATACATAAATAAAAAATCCGATGTCAAAGAACTAATTCGGAACTGTATATTATAATAATCTTTATCATCACTGTTTTTAATGTGACAAATTATAACAAGCCGGCAAATGCGCAGAAAATATTATCGTTCTAAAAGTACACGCGCAAACTATCCATTTTCAATCTAGCGCTTAAAATTATAAGTTCGGAGCTTAGCTAAGATACAGTATACAAGACATGGGGACAACCACTATACAACCATTATCGAAAACAACGATTTGCGCTTTTGTGTCAATAAATAACAGTACCAACGTAGTACTATTATTTATTCTGTAATGTTGGTTCAATCTAGGTTTCGAATTGTAATCATAGCAGGAATGTTCTATCCTATAAGAAAGTAGGCTACGTTAACGGTGAATAAAATAAGAATAATAATGTCAATAATAAGAATAATTTCAGTCACGGCGGCCTGCCTAAACGGAGACTAGCCATCGGCGCAGGACAGGATTATAGTGCCCAAGTATATGCGCAAGCACAGGTGCACTCTCTATTTCCTCACTCTCATAATCTGATAGGACGGTAAACCGACACGACTCGACAGAGATGCTAGACCTTTCCGAAGCTCGGGGGTGAGACACCGCCAACTTCCTGACTCTGGGCAGCTATTGAGAATTTCTTGACGGAAAAACTCGATAATTGATTTTTTGACCCGACCCGGGATTCGAACCCAGGACCTCATGATCAGCAGTCACACTACTACGACCACTAGGCCAGCGAGTAGAATAAAACTGACTTACTTTTGAAAGGCTACAAGGTCTTTTCATAGTCTATGTGATTTTTAAACCGAGACCATCTAGAGATTTTACGCGGTAGAGCCACGCTGCAGTTATGTTAGTTGTAGCACGAATGGGTCGACTCAAGCGGGGTGGGACCACGCTCTCACAGAATACCAGCGTAAAATAGCAGCTATTGGGTGCGTTTGGCAGAAAAAAGCGCTAGCAAGCGCTTGTAAGCAAAATGGCGATCGTAAGCGGTAAGCGCTGTCAACTCGTAAGTAGCTATTTTCCTCCAGGACACGATGTTAGTTTTAACCGGGGAACCTAACCTAATTTAAATATATGTTTGTAAAGTATTCATATTAAAAACTTACCAATCATGAATTTTTAATAACATGTATATGTTTATTCACGTTATTATATTACTTAAAACTAATATTGCACAAAACAACTTAAAAACTCTACTTCAAAACAAACAAATTAAATAAGCAAAATGGCGGATTGTGTCAGCGCTACTGAAGTAGTATCGTGTCCTGGCCGAAAACTATTTCAGCGCTTGTAAGCGCTTGCTAGCGCTTTTTTCTGCCAAACGCACCCATTGTGTTTCGTATGGTGAGTGTAGAGAACCGGAGACCCTTTTTTACTAGAAACGAGGCGTTCCATCTTAGTCCTCAGGGGTGACGACGCATCTGCATTTTGATTCTTAATCCAGGATAAATGTAGATGTCTATGGGCCACAGGATTCATTTACCATCAGGTGGACTGCGTGCTCGTTTGTCACTCCTATTCCTTAAAAAAAGATGGCTAGTCAGATATTCATTTTATATAATATATTTCAAACAGATCTGATTGGTGGATAACTGGCTTTTTCTTTGCAGAAACAAGCGATGCTGGTGAGGCAGCTAGAAGAAGAACTGAGATTACGAATGCGCCAACCTGCTCCTGAACTACAGCAACAGCTCGAAGCACTATACGCAGAAAATGAACACCTACAAAGAGAAATAGCAATACTAAGGGACACCATTAAAGTAAGTAAAACAAAAGAAGATCGAATACCTTTTAAAAGTTTAATAAAAGGTCTTACAAACGTCAAAATCTATTAATACTTCCAAAAATAGAACCGGTACTGGTGTGAACCGGCAAGAACATGTAAGTTCATTGTTTTATGTTCTTTTCTATTATAAGAAAATGATTTATTACAATAGCCGATCATAAACGCAGAAACACCTTCAATCAGATTAAGAAACTTTGATAATAACCCCTGGAAAAGGTGATCGCTACCAAGCTATTTCTAATTTGTTTCTAAATTGTAACATACATGATTGTCAGCTGTTATTTCTTTAAAGTCCCGCTAGGTTTCATGCTGGTTGATTTCTAGGACATAAGTTTTTCTCCTAACCGGTGGTAAATTTAAAAAAATGACTCAATAAGTATTAATTATAATCTATATTGAATAAAAAAGTTTCTGTTTCTGTTTCGAATCGAACTTTAGGGACATCATTGTTAAGTCAGCAGAATAAATGTAATACTAATAATAAAGTAATAAATACATATCCAAAACTAAAACACCTTGTCGCGGCACGAGAAAGGCCGGCAGCGCTTGTACCATTCCCCTGGTGTTGAATTTGTTCTCGAGCGGCGGTAGTTCCTTACCATTAAGTGAGCCGCATGTTTGTTTTCCCCCTCTTATATAAAGAAAACTATCACCTCATTAGAGATGAATGAAAGAAAGACCCAGATCTTTCGACTTGTTTTATCACAAACAAAATTACCATATTGACGACATGAAGCAGCATCAAATATTCAAAACTGATTAGAAGCGAAGGGGAAGATAGGCTCAAGGAAGAGTTTTATATTAAAAATTGATGATAATAAAGTTGCTTGCAATGGAAACATTAAAATTTCTAATGATGTCTTATATTGACTCGAACAATGTACACACTTAAATAATACTAGTTTTTACGGATTTTATTTATTTATCTATTTTTTAATCTTTTTTAATAATTCTAATATGTGGGTAACCGCGGTTAACTATGACATCTGGACGTTTAACATCTCAGTCCCCACCGTGACCATAGGTGCTGTAAAGTGCTCGAAACGTCGGGAATATAAAAAAAGTTAATATACGCAATAAAATCCGTAAAAACTGGTATTATTTAAAACTTCAAGGTATGTATAATCTAATTACACGACACCAACATGATATCACCTTTATAATTACCTGCATTATTTTTACAAATGTATTGAGGGTAACTATGTTACCCCATACATGCTGCCAGCTTATCCAAATTTACTATTTTATGCGTGTGTGTACTGAGGGACCAAGCTGGGAATTTGCAAAATGAATTGGTAAGAATTTTGTAGTAGGCCCAAAACAATTTTAGAACAAATCCTAGAATTTGTAAAAGAATATATAAACATTTACAGCCCTTAAAGTGTGGTCACTCAATTGAGACACTATCAGCCAGATCTTGGAGAGTATCACAAAAACGAATTTAATGTGATTGCAGATATTTAGTAAAGAATTTGTAAAGCTTATTTTACTTAGCAACAAGACACAAAGTGCTAAAGATAAAAGAAACAAATATCTAAATTGTGGTTTCTCAGTCCACACAATGTTTTTATACATAAGTGAAAATTTCTTAATTAAATTATTTATCTCGTACTTTTTCCAGTTAAGATTTCGGGGTAAGTTTTAAAGGATTTTATTAAAAAAGAAATTGGGCTAATTGTTGGCGCATAACATTGTATCTCACACGTCTCCACATATATATCGTGTGTTATGTGACGAAAGGAATATAAAAAGGTGTAGGTCAGTTAGGTTCTTAGCTTTTAGTAGAAAATTTCTACTAAATAATAGAAAACTTTGAATGTATATTGATAACATATTAACTAAGATAATCACATTATATAAATTCCGTGGAAATTATTATTATTAATAAATTCCATGGACCGGTACACACTAACAACGAAAAACATTTATTTTCCTCGAACATCTTTTTTATTCTTAACTTTTAATTTTACACTCAGTTGGGACCGGAAATGAAAACTTCTATCTGATTTAGAGAATTACTAGCGTGGTAGCGTGGTAGCACTCAGTGCTCAGAGCACGTACTGAAACATATGGCATATGGCTAAAAGGTAAGAACACTTACATCTTATATTCCTAACGTCACACAGTAAAATTCACTAATATTTTATACATACATTTGTTTAACATTATACACTGTAACATTGAACATTGTGTGGACTGACGGACTTCAGTTTTAGATATTTGTTTCTTTTATCTTTAGCACTTTGTGTCTTGTTACTTAGTAAAATAAACTTTACAAATTCTTTAGTAAATATCTGTAATCACATTAACTTCATTTTTAAGATACTTTCCGAGATCTGGCTGATATACAGTGTCAATTGAGGGACACATCTTTAAGGGCTGTAACTTTTTCTATATTCTTTAACAAATTCCAGAATACGTTCTACAATTGTTTTAGAGCTACTACTAAATCTTTAGCAATTCATTTCATGGATTCCCAGCTTGGTGCATTACTGAGAATCACACACATAACTATTTTGATTTTAATGAACAAAAGTAAGGAGTTAGAAATCGGTTCCAATCAGATCTATTTTTATTTATTGTGCATAATGCAAATTCTCAGTTAACTTCTAACAAGGATTATTTTCTTCAATGATTTTGTTGTACGATAGTTTTTAAACCAGTTTTTACTATATTTTTTTGAGATATATGTCAAATGTGTTTTTAATACGTGAAAAATTATCTTTATAGTCATTAAGGTTACACAAATTAAATTGAATGCTTTTAAACTATTTTTTAAATTTACTCTATTTCTACATTTTTTTTATTTACTAAAATAGTGATTGTAAGGTTGTGTGTGGAACACTATAAGTATGTTTATTCGTTTTCCTTTAGGAACTGGAGCTTCGTATTGAGACACAGAAACAAACATTGCAAGCCAGAGATGAAAGCATCAAAAAATTACTCGAGATGTTGCAAAATAAGGGAATGGGTATGTTTAAAGTACTAATATAATTAGTTAAATTAGGAATCATGTTGATGTTTAATTAGATCCATTGTATGACTGTGTACATTTTGAAATAATTTCAGGTAAAGAAGAAGAGAGACAAATGTTCCAACAAATGCAAGCAATGGCACAAAAACAGGTAATTATCAGGTTGTCGTTAGATGTCTGGTGTTGCATGTTGTGTTAAGTAAAGCAAGCTCTCCACTTTAATTTATAAAACGTCAACAGTCCGGAAAGCTTGCTGCAACTAGTTATGTTTCTTACACTTTAAATAACCTAGTCGTATATGCACGTCACTCAGCTTCCTCATATTTATGTACGAATAGTTATGAACCACATGGGCGTTTTATTTTGTGATACCTTTATCAGAATCACTGTTTCAGTTAGAGTTGCTCTTGTTAGTTTCATTTTCATTCATTTGTTAACATTCAGCAGAATGTGATCGTCGCGTCGCCTTTTGTGTTAAATCAAACGTTTTCTCCTTTGGCTTCATTAAATTCTGAACAACTCTCGCTTACTCTTCACACCCGCGGTTACTGTCGCTTTTCTGTGACATTTGAGCTTTCTCCCCGAGCACTAGTTACCCATTTTTTCTCTCTCCTTCACCATTCACATTACGACAATACAAACTTTAAATTCTAACCGAGGCGCATCTTTCTCAACCCGATCACGACATAAATTCCTTTCAAAACCAACACGTACACGATCACCACATTGCATGTTTAGCGAACTCATCTTGTCCCCGTCACGAGCCTTAGCAGAGACCGTCTCGTACTGTCATCGGGCGTACAAACAATCATTGTTTAGTAAAATTTGTATCGCCTACGACTGGGGCTGCGTCGGATCGGGGACGGTGTCACTCGCGAGCCGGGAGCAGCCCCAGCGGGCAGGACGCGAGGCGGCGGCGGCTGACCGAGTCCGTCCTGCAGGAGCTCAAGGCGACGGCGGACACGCTGCGGGCGCTGCAGATACAGCTGGAGCGCGCGCTGGCCGCGGCCGGGCTGCCCGGTGGCAGCGCGGGTGCCACGCTCACCGCCGTGCTCGAGACCAAGGAAGCGCGCATCGCGACGCTGGAGCGCCAGGTGGCCCTGCTCGAGAGCGAGCTGGCCGCGCTCGTGTCGCCGCCGCCGCCCTCGCTCGCACCATCCCACGCCTCGCTTTACGATAAGGCCGACCCTCCCTTCAAGAGACAAGTAAGTTTTCTGCTGAACGACGTGCGCGTGACCAAGGACGGGCGCATGACCGCGCCGCCGCCGCGCACGCCGCGCCCCGCCCTGCGCGCCGCCCACCACCCGCCCTACTATAGCGCCACCACTCTGTGACCGCCGGCCGACTTACCGTGTCAATTTCTCGCTTTAACTCCGAAGTTAGACGCCGACTGTGTTGATTCGAAATATTTTTGTGTGAAAATTGTTCATTGTTATAGCTATTTTTTATTAAATATAAGAGAAAATTTATATTTCTTAAATGACTTGTGGTACAATTATATTTTTGTTAATTAGGGCTTTAGGCAGAGCGTTAATATAAATATAGATTGTATATTTTAACGTTAGAAGAAACATGTGAGATTAATTACGTTGACACCAAACGTTCTTAGAGTTAGACCGTTTCGAATAAAGACTGCAGAGGTCGAATGCATCGAATGAATCTTTCGAGTGCGTTTTTATTGATCCTTGATTTATTTACGATCCGCTTTCGGTGTTTCAGTCATCGTCCAGTACAGCTTTATTCCCGCGTCATCCGCCATCAATAGATTAGTACACCAGACCCGGCCTCTCATGTAGTGGTCATGTTTCATCAGTCTGTCTCACATTAACGGTAGATAAATGTATCACAACGTAGGCGCCCGTGCATACAAATTTGTGTCGATTTCCTCGTACCTTATATATGTGTCTGGAAAACTTTCTACCGCCTCTCATATAAATTTCACATCATCATATATATGATTAGTTAGCTTAGAAAGTTTTCCACCATGATTATTCTATGAAGACCTTATTGATATTTATTGTTGCGTGAAGGATGAAGTGCATGTCGTTTAAAAATTTAATGAGACAATGTCAAAATGTCTTCCACGGCACGTTGTTATTGTGAAATATTCTAGTTAGGTGCTGGAAGCGTCTCTATAAAAATATAGTTATAAAGCTTTCGCCGCTTATCATACATCGATTTAACATCACTGACTCGACATTTATCTATGGAAATGATATCAGTATTGAGTAGACTAATACTTCTAACATCAGTTTCATTTTCGCCATCACTATTGCATAAGTAGATAGTTTTATATTCTTTCATATATCCGTTATCCTACTAACACTAATCAAATGTTTGGGTTTATTTAATTCTATACCGACTTTCGGGTGGAATGATGAGCAGCTGGATGAGTTCCGGTTGGAGATCCAGAGAAGAGACCAGGAGATTTTGGCGATGGCCGCGAAGATGAAAGCACTCGAGGAGCAACATCAAGATTACCAACGACACATAGCCGTTTTAAAGGAGTCCCTCTGCGCTAAGGAAGAACATTACAGCATGCTCCAAACAGATGTAAGTTCAAATTTCAAAATTATATTATTAAATCCAACTTCCAAGCGTGGCTATTATGGCAAATCTCTCTATCTTTATGGAGGCTCATGTCCAGCTGTGTAATGGAAGAAGGAAAGAATAGAGAGGAGATACTTGCAGAAAGTGAATAAAAAGAGGTGACAAACTGTAGGAGATACGTTCAGTAATGAACTTGTAATGAATGCAATGTATCATAATGATAATGATGATGACAAAAGAGAGACTATTATAAATTTGTTCAACATATATTTGCAGCATAAATGTGTTTTTACAACATTATTATTTTAATTCATGAACAACTAAAATTGCCGTACGTTTTTAGTGTTTATTATATAATGAGGATAATGACACTCATATCATTCTGAGGTATTGTACCATTGTGACGCAGATAAACATCATATGCGTATGTTGCCGTTAAGATATGTAAAATAATTCTACCATTTAATTTAAAGGTTGAAATTAGACCGACCGTTTAATTAGATAATCAAATCTCGACCGAAATAATTAAAATTCGAGGCGATGCTTGTAAAAAATAAACTATTTAATTCATAGAATAATATAATACACAATAGAATGGCTGTCAACCTTATTTTATACGACGATAGGCGTCGCCGGGAGCACACATACAAGCAATAACGTCGTATATCACTACTACAAGCCTTATTCGCTGTGTTGACAGACAGATTTTAATACATATTTATTTGTAAATAGCGTGCAATTTGGCATTTTCTAAATAATTTGCGTGGGAAATTCGGAAACGATTGTAACGTCAAAACACAGCTCGTGTTGACGTTTATACGTGTGAATTGACGTGTTAGTGACATTTTAATGGCTACGCGGGCTTCGCCCACTCCCCCGTTCTATTATGTATATATTATAGTATTTTATTATGTAATTAGTTCATAATTAATTTTAGTGTTTCTAATATTCATACATCTTCTTACTAGAACATAGTAATGTATATTTAGATGTAGTAGATTTATTACATTGATATTATTTATAAATGTTACTAGTATAACGTCAATGTTTATATTATCTAATTTAAGTAGCCCAATCTGTTCATATTATCCTTGAATATCTTTACTAATTTATTCAGTTGATTTCACATTTTTAACTCCAAAAAGATTTACGGCTTTACTCTTCATTGCGTGAACCTTATACAATTACTCAATTTTAGGTGGAAGAACTCAAAGCCCGCCTCGAAGAAAAGAGCAGACTTGTGGAAAAGAAGACAGCAGCAGCGCTGGCTGCCGCTCACGAGCTCGCAGAACTTAGAGATCACTCCGAAATCAAGGACCGAAAGATCAACGTGTTGCAAAGAAAGGTAAAAAGAAAATCCAAAATGAGACTGTGTTGCTAGCTTTTATTTTTTGTAGGGAATAATATTTATCATGGACAGGGTTTATTGCTACAGAATTTTATAAAGGTGTTACGACATTTAATTTCGATATTTTAAGATTATTTTATTATTCTCCTTTTAATATAGTTCGTCATTATTCAGTAATAGATTTGTTAACAGTATTAACTTACTCGTTTATTTAGTCATAAGGTTTTTACTAGGAGTTCATAATATATAAATATAAATGTTATTTTGAAAGTGGAATTAAACGAAGTGGAATAGTTATCTTAAGTGAAGAAATTTCTAATGGATCCTATCTAGAGCCTAATGTTCCCATCATTTTTATTGGTGTTCTCAAACTTTGAACTGCCTATCAAATAACTATTTTGGAAGTTTTGGATGTCAAACGATTTGCTTGGATAAAATTTTCTTACAAATAATAAAAAACTTTATTACACTTTGAATTAATTTTGAACTATTATTTAAATCGGTTACCTTTTTTTGGTTCGATTCTTTATTTAAACTTGCCTATCTCTTATACCAATTTGAGCATTTTAATATAGGAGAATGGTAATGGCAACCTTTAAGTTCTACTACCCATTATTTTTATGATACTTATCATTTCTATAGTTTGCTTTTATTATTTTGCCAGTGCATCTCATAAAATGTATGTTTGTTATTATTGTTATAACTTGATTATTTCGTAGCTCCGCTTGATATTGTAGGTAAATGTATTTTTTACTTTAAGCTAACCTTTTTTATCATAATATATAGACTATATATAGACTTTATTACTATTTTCTGTAAATCAAGACTGCGTTACTTACTAAATTTTATTAAAATAATTCAAACTAAAGTTATAAAGGTAATAAATATAATTAACATACAAAAAAAGGCTTAACTTACAATATTTTGTAAGGAACTCATTAAAGAAAAATAGATTGTATAAGAAATATTTTCTTACATTAAACAATCATTAAAAGATATCCTTTAGATTAATAATAATAGATTTTACCAATATTCCTGGAAATATACTTAAATAAAACAAAAATTGTATCTAATTTTAAGCTTAAATTATTTATTCTCCCATACCTACTATTTTCAAATTATCAATTCTCCGTTACAGAGCATATCACCACAAGAAAATTATTATTAAAACACAATGCTTCTACTCTTTCCACTAGGTGACATAATAATTTACCATTGGCTTTTAATAAATAATTAAAAAAAACAATTAAATTGCAGTAATCCATGAGTATCTTTTATATCAGGTTTCCAGAAGCGTCGTTATGGTACAGTCTTGATAAAACTCTGAAGATAAAGACGAAGCTAATGACATTTTGCACTTAACAAAAAAAATGTACAAAATACAATAGTGCAAAATGTCTTATATATATACACACATATATATATATATATATATATATATATATATATATATATATATATATACTTCCAAAAACCATAACCTTCAATCTAGGGCAGCAAAATAAAAATAATCGAACATTAATTTTAATAGCATGCAAGCAAGTAACAAAATAGACAGAGCCCTGGTAGCTCAGTGGCGAAGCGCTCGCTGTAATTTTACAGTACGTGAGCAACCCGGGTTCCATCCCCGCCGGCACCATTGAAATTGTTAAGTGCAATTTTAAGTGCTGATTTACCATGTGCTTGACGGTGAAGGAAAACATTGTGAGGAAATCAGCGTGTCTGAGAAATAAGAAAAAAATATTTCGAAGGTAGCGCTGCGAACATTTCCATGCCCTTCTGTACTCTTAGAAAGAAGAGAAGGCCTGTGCCCATCAAGACATATATAGGCTGTAATTTTAACTTTAAGTAACAAAATATTTAAATAAGTGTTAATTTGTGTCGAAACTGATATATATATTTTATATTTCTTGATTTTAAAATGAAACAAAAACTTGAATTTTTTCTGTGATAAGACTATGCCAAAATCGCACGTAAACGTTAGACTTGAAACGAGACCACTTAAATTTCAACTGAATTTCAAATTTTTACCGACATTTTTAAAAAATACATAATTCGACGACGCGACACAAAATGCGGTGCGACATCGCACGGTATTTTATCGCATGTCACCATTATTTAACGGCAGGCGGTAACATAATCTCAGTGCTGCTAGTGCCAGATCTAACACCTTTTATTCTTTAGCTATTTTTAGCTATGTCGGTGCTTGTGCTAGGATAGTGGCAACATGATGCTTTGAAATAATTGCGGAACCTATGCCAACTCGATTTCAACTTAATGCGATATTGCATGAACATATCGATGTAATAACATGTAGATTTAGAAAATTAGCCTGGATTTTTAAAACGCTAAGACATATTACTTCAGATACGCTCATTAACAAAATTTATGTAGCATTAGCTCAATCGTTAATAACTTACTGCCTTCCGATATGGGGTGGAGCAACAAAAACAAAATTGTTGCAATTAGAAAGAGCTCAACGTGCCTTAGTAAAGACAATGTACTTTTTGCCTTATAAATTCCCAACAAAAAGCCTGTATTTAAAAACTGATATACTAAGTATAAGAAAATTATATATTTTGCACACAATATTAAAAAAGCATAAAGGTTTGATTTTCGACCCAAATACTTTGAACAAAAGAAGAAAAGACATTGTACTTAATTCATTTTGTGTTAAAACTGCATTCGCTAGACGTCAGTTCATTAACCAATCTATCTATCTATATAATTTTGTCAACAAAAAGCTTAATATTTACTGTAGAAATGCCAAGGACTGCAAGATTTTGATTATAAATTGGCTAAAGACCCTGTCTTACGAAGACACAGAAAAACTTATGTTTCGACACATAGGGTGAGAGAGAGAGAAAAACCACACAACACACATACACACACACACACACACACACACACACACACACACACACACACACACACACACACACACATTTATTTTTGAATATTGTATTTTCTTTTTTTTTTTTTTTTTTTTTTTGTATAATATTTTTTTTATGTAATCTCACGTCTCTTGAACGTTTTGTTTGGCTATGGAAGAGCGGGAGTCTCTGACACAAGTGCCTTAAGGTACTTAAAAGATGCTCCCTACCCTATGCAAATTGTAAATAACAAGAGAAATAAACTATTATTATTATTATATTACGTGACATTATTTAAAGTTTATCAAGATGGACCACTAAAATAATGATCGTTCAAAAACCAATTTTGCATCATAAACAAATTAAATTGGAAGTTTTACATACTATTAGTGAATAGTGATCCGCCCCGGCTAGGGTTGACAAACGAGCACACAGTCCACCTGATAGGAAGTGATTGCTGTAGTCCATAGACATCTACATCTATCCTCGATTACGAATCATGATTTATGATTGACATTGACATGACATTTTGATTCGCTGTCACCCGTGAGGACTAAGATGGAATGCCTCGTTTCCAGTAAAAGGGTCTCTGGTTCTCTACACTCACCATACGAAACGCAGCAGCAGTAAGCTACAATTTTACGCTGGTATTCTGTGAGAGCGTGGTCTTTCCCCGGAAATATAACTGCAGCATGGCTCTACCATGTACAAATATTTAGATTAGATTTCTGGATCCTGATAAAAGTTCCGCCTACCAGGTCCAAAGGTCAAACAATAAAAATAAAAAACATGTTAGACAAACAATAGACAAGTCATCGGTTGAATCTAAACCATCCCGGGACTCATTCAAACACTTAAAAAAATCATGAAAATCGTTCGAGCCGTGTGTCAGATTAACGGACAGCAATTGAAGAAAAAAAAAGATCTTTGTCTATAAAATCAATACTAAATAACCATTAAATGGTACGAGCTTTTTTTTTAAACTGAGGCAGTTTTTTTAAGTGGCTCGTATACATACTATAGACCTTTAGACAAGACCAGTATTCTTTAACAGAATAATTGTAGATCATCTGTAACAATATAACTAATACAGTTACATGCTATAATGTATTCCATCTAAGATCTCGTCTCAAGCATTCTTTTTTTAGAGTATGCTACAATATCAATGATCCGCAGTGGTCACTCACTGGAGGATTGCTGCAACCTCGTTTGTCAAGCTTGTTTTGAAAAAAAAACATTAACGTTTCTATCATAAGCACCTATTATTTATACGTATTGGTTCAAACAGTACAGTAGCATTGTAGATTTGATAAGACCAGTATCACCTTCATATCTTCAATGAGTTGAAGGAGTTGTACAGTTGTGATATTTTCACTATTTCTGTTCAAGTACGTAGTTTCCCAAATGAGGGTTACGATTGCTCTTTAAGAATCCGCAAAATGAGCCTTCTAAAAGTCCTGAATTTCAAAAACAAAGTTACCTTATATTAGACAATAACTATAAATATTTTTTTTAAATATACGCAATGTATTACTAGGTATTTATTTATTATAATTAGTTTGTCATCATTTTATTTCTTTTTGTAATTGTGTTATGTTATGTTTTTGTTTTGGTTTCCTGTTTAGATCCTGAGTTCATTATTTTACCTCATTGTGTTATACTTTGTGTTAAGTATTCAATGCTAGTTTCAATTTAACAAGGTATGTTTATGTTCGGAATTTTTATTTATTTTTTATTTTCGTTTATTTTCTGCTTTTTAATTACGTCAGTGAAATTTAAAAATAATTATACCAATAAAATAAATACTAATTTTCAGATTGAGAATTTAGAAGACCTTCTCAAAGAAAAAGACAATCAAGTCGATATGGCTAGAGCTAGACTTAATGCAATGCAAGCACATCATTGCTCTTCTGAAGGGGCATTATCATCACTAGAAGAAGTTATTGGTGATAAAGAAAAACAAATTCAACAATTAAGAGAACAAAGAGACAGGGCTGAACATGAGAAGAATGAAGAAAGAGAACTGCACGAAAGGGAAATAGCAGAATATAAAATGAAATTGCACGCGTTAGAGAGTGAAGTTGAGAAACTGGGAGCTAGACTAGAAAGAGCACAAGCGGAGAAAGATCGCCTTGAAGCAAAACTGGAGAGCTCACAATCTGAGTTAGGGAAATCCAAGGCTGAACTTGACAAAGCTGCAAGTGAAGTGGGACGATCTGGTGCAGATTGGGAAGCAGCTAAACAACGCCTAGCGAGACTAGAACTTGAAAATGAAAGACTCAAGCATGAACTAGAACGATCTCAAACGACATTTGGTAGAAGCACGTTGACTACTTCTCAGGAATTGGATAGAATTCAAGAAAAGGCTGATAAATCTGCTGCAGAGTTAAGGAGAACTCAAGCAGAGTTGAGAGTGACACAAGCAGATGCAGAAAGAGCTAGATCAGAAGCAAGTGCATTACAAGATAAATTGGAAAAATCTCAAGGTGAAGTCTATCGTCTCAAAGCTAAATTAGAAAATGCACAAACTGAACAAGACAGTCTAAAGGAGGAGTATGACCGGTAAGTTTGTCAAAAGATAAATAATAAAATTGTAAATTCAAATTCAGTCAACAAATTTCAAGGGGCAATTTGTTGATTCTTTGATATTATTTTTAGTTTTCTTTTCGTATTGAGTCCATTTTGTTATTTTAAAATAAATAATGTAAGATTATCAATCGATTTGCAATAGATTGGAAATGCCATTCGGCACAATAAAGAAGCAAATGCGTTGTAGTAAGGGCTACTACTACACCATATCGTCATGTGGGTGTCGTAAGAGGGATTAAAGGAAAATAAAACGAGATTCTTTGGGTGAGCTTGAGAGATCACAGAGCCCACTTGCCAGGCGAAGTAACTATTACAAATATCCTCCCTTTGAAGTAATTTACAAGGGTGGTTTATGTTCAGCAATGGACTTTTGATAGGCTGTAATGGTAATTGTAATGAATAAATAAATAATATTTTATTAATAAATTATTTATAATACAACTGAAATTAAAACAATAACATAATATATTTTTTATTCAGAGTACAATCTTCTATAAGCCGTTTGCATTCGGAAAGAGATAAGGCCATAGCGGAATTAGAAAAGGCAAGAGAAGAACTGGAAAGAACTCAAGCGACTCTCGGAAAGGCTCAATTGCAGCAAGACAAATTACAAGCTTCGCTAGATGCCGCTCACTCTGAAATTGATAAACTACAGGAGAAGCTAGACAAGGCATCGGTTGAAGTCCGTAAGGTGAGAAAATCTGTTTTTTTTTTTGTAAGTAAGATGCAGTTTTAAATTGTTTTTATCCAATAATTTGTTATAATAATCAACCGATACGGACAGAAATTATAAAGGTTTATACACGTTAATTTATAATTCATATATATTGCAATATTTCATGCAAACAAGATAAAAACAAAGTCACATAGAAATTTTACATCAAAATGCAAATTAATCGAGTGTATTATTCCACAGCTCCAAGTAGACCGAGAGAAGCAAGCTTACGACTTTGAGTCCATACAGTCACAACTCGATAAGGCTTTGGGTCAGGCCGCGCGATTGCAAAAGGAAAGAGACACCGCCCAACTGGATGCTGACAGATTCCACGACAAGCATGAAAAAGCGCAGGTAACATGCAATTTTTTTTATTGGATAAAACTTGTTCTTTCATTAAACCTCATGACGATGTTTAAGCCGTTTTCAATCGTGGCGTCAAATTCGAAGTACTACGGAATTTGTTTATAGGAAATATGACATAGCTGCAATTGTTCATATAAATGTAGAGACGACAGATGGTGCACCTTAACTAATCAGTCTCTATTCTTTATATCTATGCAAAGCTTAGGCTGTGCGAGTCGTTAATAGTGCCGAAGATGCGGGAATACTTTTAATTATCGAGATTTGATTTACCGGAGTCAAAAACCAATAATTTGTTTTAAAACAAATATTAACTCAAGCTTTGGTTCGAACACAAGAACAGAAATTATGAGCACTAATCTGTCATCGAAACTGACATTTCCACTAAATACGAATGATAAACATAAAAAATCTTTGAGACAAATAATGACATGTGGTATAGCCACCACGACAGTATATATCAGTGTTAAGGTAGAATAAGTTTAGGGTAGTATAATTACAGTCATAGCAAGACTAACACGTCTCCTTTTTTTCATTGTCATCTTTCCTACTTTACATGGAAAAATGTGTTTGTTGGTCCTGCTATGATTTTAATTATAATGCCCTAAACGTATTTTACCTTAATACTAATATGTACTGTAGTTGATGCTACACTAAAGACATAAGGTATCATTACATTCATGTCTTGCTCTTTTTAGAGCTCGTATGTATTCTACTCTTGATGATAGACCTTTTTCATAGTAGGAATGACCCACATTGCCTTTTTATCAATCAAAATGCGTGCAGAGAGTGTCAATATCTTTCGTTCATTTCTTTATCAAACTTTATAAAACTTAGCAATACTTGAATTGATTTTATACAATAAACTGAGAATAAAATACTGAAAAAACTTTTACATTTGTAGGAACGTGGCTTTTTTTTCCTTTTGAATAAGTCCACTACAGCAAAAGTGGGTTTTTTTTGTAAAGTTTTGGGTCATTTAGGTGGAGTTTAGATAAAGTTTTTATTATGTACGTTTACGGAAGGGTCTTGCGATCTTAAATTTTTCGTCGAAATTTACGAACCCTTAAAAGTTATCTTTGTTTTTTTTTTCAATGCCAGTCATTCAAGAATATTACTTAAACATTTGGTTATTTTATATTTTCTAAAAGATTAAAAGAAAATATTTGGATAATGCTATATTCCATACTATACTGAAATTCAAATTTATTGGTAGGTCGAAAATAGTTCAACAAGTGGATCTATATTTTTAATCTTATGTCGACATCATTATCATTGTAGCTTACCGAGAGTTTAATGATGAATGTCTCCCAATAAATTGTCATAAAAACAGTTCTAAGCAACCAGTTCAGTTACATCGATTTACTCGATCCTCGAATCGACGATCACATTATCAGACGTATGGCGTAAAAGAGATCCGATGATATATCGGATTTCTTTTACGCCTTGTCATTTATCTGAAACTATAAGATTTTTTATGGAAATTCTAATAGTCGTTTCCATAGATTCATAATAATCTAATTTAAAATGTCAAATTATTACACAACACTTTAAAACTAAATTGTAATGATTATTTTGATAGCATATTCCAACAGAATTATTATCTAGCTTACTATAGTCTGTTATATAATGTCGTTACTACGTTACAATGCTGTGACTTCTAAAATTATAATGACTTTTTATGCGACGTCTTCGTGGCACAGTGGCTTAGCATAAAGTTGCGGAACTGAGAGTCGCGTGTTCGAATCCCACATAAAACAAATATTTGTATGGCCTATAAATAATTGTTCTGAGTCTCGATGCTTCTGCAATTTATGTTTGTAAACTTCCTTCACGATGCAGGAGAAAATCTTAGTGTGGAGGTAACGAATTGATAAGAAAACAAATAAGAAGAAGTATCTGGACTAATATTAACTACGATGTTAAGAGTATTTTTAACAAAATTATATATTTGCTGTCAAATTTTATACTGTACTAATTTCCATATTTTCCGTGGAACTTCTTTTATGGAACAGAGTCTACTCCCAGAGAGTCATTTAAGGAAAAGAGTCTACTTTCAGATTATCTGGAAGTAGACTGTTCCAGATACGCTTGTGATACTTTAATACATTCAGCACGCTTGATAGTCAAAGTTTTTAAAAGAACTTGAAGTGAAAGCTTTCTAGATAATTCTAGCGGTGATATAGTTATACCTAGAGTCGTGAAACTTATCATCAGGACCATAATTTTATAATAAATACCAACCAAAATATTGATGTAATTTATTCATTTAAAAAAAATGTCTATAAGAAAATTAATCATCCATTTTGTTCACATCAAGTACAGACTATTTTTTATTTGTTTGCTCTGAAATATTGTTCAATTTATTGGACATAAAACTCTAATGTTCCTGCAATAATCTTTTATGATACGTTCGCTTTACTAACACCCCATAATGTTTTATAAAGGCCAGACAATTCGTCGCCACACTAAAATATCACATGGAAGCGAATTCTCTCAAATTCAAGTAACCTCGTTAAACTTCCTTTACATCACGTCCTTGAAGCTTTGCCAAGAAAGTTAACAAAACCGATTACTTAAAAATTTGCTTCATATCTGAAATATAGCGATAAAAAATAGCGATAAAAAATGGTGATTCGAAATAACGTCTTGAAAAATTACATATTATGATTTTGGCGGTGGAAGGAAAACAGCCCGCCGGGCACGGTGTTCCGACCGGGGAGCGGCCAACGCGCTGCCACATGACATTGTCCTCTTTTCAATTTAAATTTGAAATATGTTAAATATTATTTGTTTATTTCAAATAAAGTGACAAATAAACGTACAGTCCACCTGAAAGTAGTACTCTTACATATTCCATCTGCCATACGGCAGTAAGTTCATTGCTGTTTCGATTTGAATGGTTAAGTGATTGTATAATTTTATTTAATTTTTTTCGGAAACAGCGATACATTAATTGAGTACTGAAAAATTACTTAGGCTTAGGGCTTAATATTTCCTTCTGCGTTCCGTAACCGAACAACCAGACGCTTGGCTGGTCTCCACTTTTGTTGTCGACATACCAAGCATTCGGACTAAACTGTTGTAACTCGTTCATAATGCATACAGCAAAAGAATCTGTCTTTCCATCCGATTACTGCGTGGTATGTAGATGAATGAGAGTAAATAGGATTTAAGTAAGCTAAGTCACATACCATCAGGTGCGATATTAAACACTGAATAATAATAGTTAAACAAACATGGGGGGGTGTGCTCAGTTCAGCAGTGGACTTGTTAAGTGTTGTAATCTATGCATGAATAAACAACACGGCACTTAAGACTCAATAGCATTCAAGGGTTTTAGCCTTCATTGTTTGATTGCAAATATTCACGAAATACAACTCGCGGCACGAAAGTCTAGCAGTAACCGTTATTGTGCATATTTGGCCGTATTGCACAATATTGCGTTTGATTGGCAGTGCGTATCATTCGCATGCTCTGATTGGCCCTCCAGTCGCATTATATTCACCGTACTGATAGGACATTCGCAGCTTTCCCTTCCACGTTTCGTTCAGCGCTAGAGTTACGTGCTGCGATGTATACAATGGTAACCATCAAGTGGGCTTACGCTAACAGCCCACTTGATGGTTGCTTTCATTTTTGTCATTCATTGATGTCGTTTAGTATTCTTCAAAAATGTATGTTATTGAAATATTTGCATGCAATGGGGCACGTCCTACACTTCGCTTACCGATACTAGCCTACATATCTAGAACCTTTCATCCAACTTTCTTCCCCATTGGTTTTCGGCTCTTCGTGCTACATGTCCGACCTCATCTTATATTGTATATAGTTTCATAATATTTTAGCTTATTGTAGATTTAACAGTATACCTTAATACATTTTAATATATTGAATAATTTAAGATTAAGTTTTAAATAAATTCTTGGCACGGGTAATTGGACGGTATCATCATTTTAAGCAAGTAGCAAAATCTTTAAATTAAAATATTTCTGTTAAAAGTCCGTTGTATGTATATTTACAAAAATTCTATTAAATATATAATTCAAAAGTTATAGAATAAGTATAATGGAATGGCAAGCGCTCTGTTGTAGTAATAGAAATGTTTTGAACCTAAGACTGCTGTGTGTGAGTTTATGTTGATAGAGTGTGTTATTTATTTGTGAGTAAATTGTATGCCCGCGATTTTAGACTTTTGCAAATGACAGTATCTCATATTGTCCTTTTTCAGGCACTAGTGGCCCGTATACAAAAAGAAAGAGATGCAGCATTAGCAGAAGCAGCCAGCTGTCGTGAAAGAGCTGAGGCAGCAGCAGCAGCCGCTAACAGGGCCGCTAGAGATCGCGACAGCGCTGCGACGGAATTAGATGTTTTGAGGGAACGATGGGAGAAGGCACATCAGCAACATCAAAAACTAACGGTGGGTAATATTGCGTTATGTTAATAATTTCTAATGAAGGATAGCAAGATGAGTTAAAGAATATAAGCACGGTGACCTTTTCTGAATGACATGATAAATGCAAGCGATATCTAAGTCCTGTGGTATAATTGCTAGCATTTGGGATACGATTTTACTTGTAATTTGAACTCGGATTGATGCTCTATTAGAATTGCGCATTGAAATGTTGAGTGTGGGTTTACATTTGTTCAAAGAACTTGCTATAACTTCTAGCTAAAGTGATAATGCCCACATGCACTGGAGTAGAGTGGCGGACTTATTGCTACGTAACCCTGTCTAAAACGAGATGAGGCCTTTACCCAGATGTGTGACGTATTGTGTGCTGTAATTTTACCTTTTTATATCTTAAATGTGTATAAAATGTTACATTTTGGTTTTGTGTCCGTTTTTTGATTCCTCTGTTTTTCTCAACTTATTACCCTAATGTTTAATTATTCCTTATTTTTGTTAATGATTTAAATTGATTGATATTATAATTGACGATAAAACAGATAGCTTCAACATAAACATGATTTCTTCAATCTCTGAAGAGATCGCCAGAATTAAATGAACATAAGCTCATTTAGTTAGTGTATTTTCAAAATTATAGATTCCCTTACACAATCTTCAAACAAAAATATTGTAAGCCCAGAAAGTTTGTTAACATCCTTTATTTAATTTCGGTAACAATACTTAAACTTACTAGCACTTTTGCGTTCAATATGGTTAAGAGGAGAACGCTAAATCAGTTTGCAAAGCCAATAAGGAAATTAACATTATTACATGTAGACGAAACCCTCTCAGAAAAGGGAGGAGTCTTGTGCCCAGCAGTGGAACATATCAGGATGTAAATACATTACGATAATACCTATCGCATGTAATTACAGCCATTTATAACAGCCAATAATAACAGGATTTTTTAAATAAAAAAATATTTTAACAAATTATTATTATTTCGTAATATTATCCATTAAAATTGACATAAAGACACTACAAAAAAGTTTAGTATTTATTTTTTCAACTAACTCTTAACTAAATCATCTAGATGATTTATTTATAATATCATCATCAAATTTCAAGGGATTGATTGGGATATTTGAATGATTGGTTTTTATTAATATCGATGTACTTTTCATTTATCTTTTCATGTGATCACTTTTCATGAAATTCTATTAAATATATTCATTAAAGCGGGATTGTAAGACCATTTTCATTTAATATTACTTTAAGATAAATAAGAGGGACAATTTTAAATATGTTACATACAAAATATTACATTATTTCAGATGGAACGAGACGATGCCCTCACAGAACTTGAAATTCTGAAGGAAAAACTTGACAAAGCTTTATACTCCACACAAAAAACTATAGAAGAGAAAGAGACTGCGCACAAAGAATATGAAAAAATGCTTGAAAAGTATGACAGGCACGTAGTCACAGTGGAAGCTTATTTATCTTGCCCATGTTCATAATACCTTTCTGTTTTTTAGAGTTGATTGTCTTAGTAACTTCTTTTCTTTGTTTTCAGGTCTCAAAATGAAATTTACAGATTGCAGAACAAGATAGACATTCTAGAGGCTGATAAAGATCGTCTTGAACTTGAATTGGAAAAACAAGTGCATTTAGCAACAAAGTCAAGGGAGGAACAAAGAAAATTACAAGATGAATTAGCTAGAGTACAGGAGATGTATGACAGAGCCTCTTTGCAACTTGGAAGGACTAAAGAATTAGAAGAAAAGGCTAAAGAAGATATGGACAGAATGAGTGTCGATATTGAGATGGTACGGGAACGATATGAAAAGGGTCAAATTGAATTACGCAGACTTCAAGCAGAAAAAGAAAAGTTAATAGCGGATAATGAAAGACTTCAATTTGAATACGATCGTGCAATGACACAATGTGGTAAAGCACAAGCATCAAATGAAAAAACTCAAGAAGAAATGGCAAGAGTGCAAATAGAACTAGAAAAGATGTACGATAAACACGATAAAGTGTCTGCAGAGTTGAGAAGGGTACAGGCTGAATTGGACAAAGTAAAACAAGACGCTAGTGGAGCAAGGGAGGAAGCGGAAAGATATGCATCTCGCTACGGCAAGTACCACGACAGCAAAGAAGAGCATGAAAGAACAAAGTTGGAGGTGGAACGTCTGCGCACGCGGTTAGAGAAGACCACACTAGAGTTGGAGCGGGCACGCAAAGCTGAGGAAGAGGTGACCCGTCTGCGATCGGAGCTTGAACGCGTCGAAGGCCTCCGAGGTAAATACCAATTTGAACAGGATAAATGGAGTAATGAAATAAATCGAATGCAGGCTGAATTGGACAAGCACCGTGAACGGTACGAGGCATCGCAAGCAGAAATACAACGACTTCAAGCCGAAAAGGAGCAAGCAGAGACAAAGTTACACGAATCTAATATACAATTAGAACTCTCTAAGAGTGAGGTAGCAAAACTTAGCGCGGCATTAGAAAAGCAAAGATTGGATCTCGAGCGTGCTCATATTGAGTGCGAGAAATTTAGAGACCGTTGCGAAAAATTAAAACTGCGTTCAGATCAATTAGACAAAGATAACGAGAGGCTTAAAGGTGAATTACAACAAATTGAAAGGATGAAATTACAAGCAGTTGCTGGGGACAAGGCAAGGACAGAAGATAGACTTGAAATTGAACGGCTAAGAGATAAATTAGAAAAAGCCATTCAAGCAAGAGATGCCACAGAGATGGAGGCTGGTCGCCTAGCAAAGGAACTTGAAAAATCTCAGATGCATCTTGCGAAATATCAGGAAACAAATGAAACGACACGTGTTGAATATGATAGAATGACTAATGAATTAGGTCGAATGCATGAGAGGCTAGAGCGTACTATTCTAGAAATGCGACAGATTGAACAAGAGAGAGATGCACTTAGAATGGAGATACAAAACACGAGGCGTAATATAGAACAACAGCAGAGAACTTTGGACCACCGAACGCAAGAAACTTTAGTAAAACTTCAGCAAGAGCTAGCGCAATCTGTGAGAGACCGAGAAAAGATGGCATCCATACTAGAGCAAAGAGACAAGCAAGCAGATGCAATAGAAAAACAAATAGTGAAGCTAGAAGCGGATACGAAGCAACTGACCATCGAACGAGATCAATTGGTGGCGCAGCTAGAAAAATCTCAAGATATGCTAGTAAATTTCCAACGAGAGCTTAATGCATCAGAAACTGAACTGCAAAAGCAGCGTGAAGAAGTTCGCAGATTGAAGGAAGAACAGAGAAAGGTTGTTCAGGATTCAGAACGTGGTACGAAAACCGTCCTTGAGAGTCGCGATAGAGAAATCGCCAAACTGCAACAACAAATGCAAGCAGTTACCAAAGAAAAGGAGTCATTCAGGCAAAGAGCTGAAAAAGCTGAAAAAGAAGCACAGAAAGTGGGCGAGATTGAAAAGTGGCGAGCAGCAGTCGAAGCTGAAAAGTCTAAAGCAATCGCAGCGGAGAAGGCATACTCGGAATGCCACCAGCGGTTACAGTCTTTGGAGAAACAGTTCCAGGCGCAACAACAACAACTGCAACAGCTTCAAGCGCGGGGACCATCAGACGTGCGCGAAGTTCAGAAGCAGCTTGAAACGGCGCAAGCAGAGGCGCGCTCACTTGCTGTGGAGAGGGAGCGATGCCAGTCACAGCTGGAGATGCTTGTTCAAGAATTGGAGAAGAGCCAGGTCAGTTGGAGGATCGCCCGGCGACGAGTGGCTGTCGGGACGGCTTTGGGTGGTTGAATCGAGTTTGATAAGCGTAATGTTCATGATAAGTTCTATTGGCAAAAATAATTTGAAGAAACAAACTCGATTGAACTGCTTCCAACGTACGTTGTCTGCTTAAATCATTGCACCGGTGTTATCGAGTAGATTTTGATTTCGATGTTCATACATTTTTTGTTTGGGTTGTCATCATCGCCGGTTGTCATGTACATTGTTGTTGTATAGTAGCATGCCACCCACAGCCCGCTGGGCATCCTCCAACCCCTCATTATAATTATTCGTATTTATTTTATTAGTTTCATCATCGCAATGTATTGGACATCCAAAATCATAACATTGTGATATGTTCAAACGACGTTACTGCACCAGACATTTCACATCACAATGCACTAATCCAACCCTATTAATTGGTGTTGAGTAAAATGTTCGGTGCATTGCAAAGGGCTTGATTTTTCTACTATATATTAATTTGTAATGTCTCTTTCAGCCGTACATGCTATGTTTTATCTGTGTATATGCGATATTGTTCAACGTGCGAATTAAAGTATTTTTAAGAGAAATTATTTTTGTCATTAAATTTGTTGCTGCGCAAATATAGTTTGCTGAGTTACATGTATAAAATTATGCTTACTATGCGATTCAAATAAGAATAGGAACAACTTGGTCCTATAGTATGACTTCGTAGCTGTCAATTTAAACCAATTAGGTAGGGTGAGCAAAACAGATATTTTTGAAATAATATTTAGTTACAAATAAATACAAAAGAACCATGAAAGAAATAGTTTTAATCGGAACGTAGCACTTTAATAGTTAATTTCATCATTTATTTTATTAATTAATTTAATTTAATAGTTTCCATTTTGTAGAAATGTTGCTAATAATTAAAATAGGAAAAAACTGTTTTAATTATTTTAAAACTAATTATTATTACTTCAATAGATTTGGTAACACTCAGTTAAATAACTATAACAATGGAAAATTAATTTTCTTTGCTTTTCCACTGTTCAAGTACATTTCAAGTGACAGTTTACAAATCGCGGTTATTCGAGGTCATTGACGTTCCATTTCTTTTTTGAATCGCAATGTACATTAAGCTTGAAGATTTAAATTTAAAAGTTGTATATGCAAATATCTTGAAGCTTTTCAATTAAATGATATGTTTGCTATTCAAAAAAAAACCATTTCAGATATTGAGTGTCGAGCAATGCATTCACATTTCCGGCGACATATGTAATTTACTTCATGAAAATATCGATCAAAGCTTGCTTTGATTATTAACTAATTATACTAAATGAATGCATGGCTCTGAACTCGATTAAAACATTACTTAATTTTTCATGGTTCTTAATACACTTTTTTTGATAAACAGCTCGATCTCCGCGAAGCGAACAAGAAATTACAAACGGTTGGCGCTCAGAACGCCAAAGCTGGGGAAGATTCAGCGCAAGCTAGAAAGCAACTCCAAGAAGAAATGAAGAAGTTAGAAGATATGAAGAAACAGTTTGACGAACAAAGAAGAGCATTTGAGAATAAGAGGAAAGACGTGGAAGAGAAGGAGAAGTCGCTAACGGAATTAGATCGACAGTTGAAGAAGAGAAAAGAACAAATGGACCAAATGGAAGCATCTTTGAGGAAGGTAATATTGAATTTTATTTATATGTGCTAAAATTTATCAAACAGACTAAAAATTTATATAAAAATTGATAAGTTAAATTGATAATGTTTATTTATAATTTGTTAAATATTTTATGCTTTATTTAATTAGCAAATTTGACCAGAGTCAATATATTAATGTAAAACATACTTAAAAGGCGGGCGGAAGCGCAGCTGCAGTGACAGAAATAAACCGCAAGTTGACTGATACGCAAAAGGAAGCGGATCAACTGAAACAACAACTAAAACAGAGTGAGGAAGAATCAAAACGCCTGACTGCAGAAACCGAGAGGCTTCTACAGCTGGTACAAATGTCGCAAGAAGAACAAGCACAGAAGGAGAAGCAAATAATGGATCTGCAACAGTGAGTTTTATTACAAATACTAAAAATATTATAAATTAACGTAATATTTACTACAATCAAAAACATCATAATCATAGTCATTATCCTTCATGATGATAATTTTGGAATACATGGATTGACACATTAATATAGCTCCTGATGTTAATTAACGTTTAAACTTGCTATACTATATGATAAGACATCACACATATTATTGTAAAATAAGAACGAAAATAATAGTTTTAATACCTGGGTCGTTATAATAAAGTTAGCTTCTTAATCAAATTGAAAGAAAGATAAATAAATTTTGATTGTTATATTCCAGATCAATAAGAAACCTTCAAGCCAAATTAAAAAGTCAGCAGCAAGCACAAGCACAAAAAGATGAGGTATTTATTCACTTCTAATATGCTAATCTTATTACGCTTATTAAAAAGTAAACTAACAGACTAATAATTTTCGCACTGTTCTTAATAACTATTCGATATAATCGGACTGGTATACTTTCTTCTTATTTTAATAAATCTCAAAGAGCATTTAGAAACACAACAAACAGTTTTAAGAAATTTCAAAGACCTACAACATATTAGCATCATTACAAATATATGCTGAATAATATTATATTGCTTTCGTTAGTTAGGGCAAAAGTTTATATAAGTAAAATAAAATTTACAGTATTTTATTATGTTCGTTAATTTGTGACTTGTGACAACTTCTCACATTTTTCAACCTAGGTGCTTTTGACTACCTCAGTTATTTGTCCAGCAAATAAAAAAATCAGAAATCAAATTTAGAAGCAAATGGATCAAATAAATTTGTTAGAAAATATTAATAAATTTATTTAGTAGCTCATAACAATAAAATTCCTAAAATATTACAAGAAAAGTTTTTGATCTTTTTTGCTTAATAAATTGTGATTTATTATTTTAATATGAATTACTAATCAACTAACAAAATTCTTTTTTTCATGCTGCAGGCCGGACCCGCAGGCTTCCTCAAAAGCTTTTTCTAAGTTAATCCTTCACATCGGGACTGTTGTTTTTGTTTTTTAATTATTAATTTTCTTTTCTTTGACTGTCGCATATAATTCGTTGAGCGACGGCTTCATCTCTCTACGTCTTTCGGTCCTAACATCATGATTAAGCTTTACAATCGCAATTCGTATTAAGTAATGTTATTGATTATACATCAAAGTGTTCAGATAATAATAGAACTTTCATCTCTTGTTGATAAACCGAAAACCATGTATACAGGTTTCGAGCCTTCAGTACGATCATTTGTAACCAGCACACAGTTAATATAATCGTTAGTTTAGCCATATTTTCTAAGTAATGTTTAATTAATAATAACAATTCAATAATCGTGTTCAGCGGGAATTATTTTTAAAGTATTAATAAAAATATAACAATATTGTAAAACTGTTAAGTACTCATGTATCTAGATAGAACAAGTAAGTTGTCCATTAGTCGATGTTAATCAGCTTTCAATCTTGTTATGCAAAATATCAATTGACTATACATAAAAAGAAATCTATGTTGACTCTGACTCTTTCAAATATTTTTTGTCAATATTGTTAACTATGTTTTGTTATTGAAGTAAATTAATGATTCTTTTTTATTTATTTAAGTTTTGTTTTTTTTTCTTTCATCTATCACCTCCTAAATTAGGATCTATTACGATCGAAACAAAGTGAGCAGGCAGCTTATTTTAAATTGACAAATGCTATGAAAGAAAGAGACAACTTAAAATCTAAATTAGAAGAGAGCAGACTGAAGATAATTGATTTGGAAATAGAATTAAATGAATCATCTCTTATATTGTCCGAAGTACTGAAAATATCAGACGGGCAAATGTGCAATATTAAGAAAAGCAGAAGTTTCTTTGAGTTGCAGAAAAGTGGTAAGGTAGTGGATAGGATTGACAAATGTAAATTTAGTCAGAGTGCAAATGATTTAAATATTGTACATAGGATAGAACGAAAAGCATCACCACCAAGTGTGCATAAATTGACGCGAAAAATTTCAGAGTTATCTAGAGAAATGGGAATAAAGAATTCAAAAATTATTGAACAGCAAAGATGCATTTCTATTTTAGAAGAAGCTTTAAGGGAAAACAATAACATCGCTGAATTTGAACAACTTCTAGCAGTTGTGCGAAGCAAAGATGAAAGAATTAATGAATTAGAAAGAATGGTTGGTAAAAAAGCTATCTCAGTTTCCTCAGATTACAAGGACAGTAGAATATTAGAGTTAGAAGATGCACTAAAAGAATCTTTTATGATAGCGGCAGAGAGAGAAAAAGTATTTTACGAAGAGGAACAAAGAAGAATTGAAACATTACACATGGTAAGTCCGTTCATTTGTTATAGAGTATAATGTTCACCGCATGAATCATTCCGTTAAATCGTTTCATTTCGAGGGATCCTGTAAAGAGACTATGATAAATGTCGGAAAGATCCCATGGCCTTCGATATATTTAACAGTATACTTATCTCGTATATGCCAAATCAAAAATTCCCGAAACGGTGAAGGTAGACGTAAGAAGTATAGAGTATAAGTATATAGTATTGATAAAGACGGTTTACTACTACGATTGCCATTGCACCTGCATAGCATAGACACCTGAACATAATAATTATGGCAAATATTTCCTATATATAAAAGTTGTAGGTCATGGAGTAGCCTGCTGTAGTCGGATAAAGAAAAAAGTCTGAGAGAAAAATGTTAGAATGACTATTATTAATTAAACCGTGTAGAGAGGGTGTAAAAATATCTACTATTCTATATACGTCCCATGGATGTCGTAAGAGGCAAGAGAGGTAAACAGTCGAGATGGGCAGCAGCGATAAACAAAATGGACAATTTCAAATCTAAATTAACTAAAGATAACTACAATATAAAAATTCGGTTTACAACTCGTATTTCTCAAATAAAAATTCGCCGTACTCGTGTTTCTTGAATAAAAATTCTGATTCTGATTCTGATTCGCCTACCAAGTTTGGCAACTATGGTAAATATCCTCTTTATTAGAAGTAAATTTTGAACTGAACTTAGCCGTGTAAAAAACCATTACTGATATCATTCCTTGCGAGTCGTAACAGGCAACAGAGGGAAACGGAAACAGGAGTTAGGCAGCAGCATCTTTCTGATACGGCTTAAATAATTAAGAAACTGCAGTTGCCAATCCACCTACCACCACCAGACACCTACCAAGCGTGGCAACTATGACAAATATTCTCCCTATGAGGCAATCGAGGGGAGAGGCTATGTTCAGCAATTACTCAAGCATATATAGATTTGAGGTAAGGACGCACAAATATTTTTATTTTTCCAATATTGCAAGGACCTAAATGTTTTGAATCTTTTTTTTCCTCTGTGGCTCATACTAGGTTTTTTTTTTTGGTCTGTTCGTGTTATATTTGATTCTAGAACAGATATTAAACCAGTTTGTGTGATATATTTGATCGATATTTACGTTTTAATTAAGAAAAATAAATAAATAAGGTTAACATTGTAAAGGGGAATATTCTTGTCGAAAGAAAGATTTGTATTTAGTTACAAGTTGGTGTTAACATGATTTCAGATGAAGAAAATGGAGCAACGTATAAAATCACTGCAAAATGCCTCCGCACTTAATTGCGAAACATGCTCATTGGTGCTAAAGCGCTTAAAGCATTTAGAAAATGCTCTACAGTGTTGCCGGACTAAAAAGGAAGCAATACTACGGCATTCATCACGTGTGATGTAAGATTATCTACCCCATTATTTCCTTCTTTAACCGCAAGCATTATGGTTATTATATCGTTGATTTAATTTCACATTTCAGTCAAGACATATTAGAAGGTGCGATAAGCGAGAAGGATTCCAAGATAGCAGAGCTCGAGATGAAGGGGGTTTTGAACGAGAACGAGACAAAAGCTTGCGACGCACTGAAGAGCGAGCGAGATAGATTGCTGCATAAGCTTAAGATTGAGGTACAATCTTACCTAAGAAATTGTAGCATTAAATTTACCTTTTCGAAAATAATCATATTTGGCAGGCAGGCAGCCGCTATCAAAAATTTCACAATTTGTTTTATTTTTCTGACACTTCCTGCGGTCGACTTTTAGGTTTACGTTGACACCGCAAGAATCTGCATATAGTTTTATTTGTTCCTCTACATCAAGTTTTTTCCACGTGTACGGAACACTACAAAAATAATGTATCATTTCTATGTCTTGAAGTGTTGACATTCACGTGACGAAATGACGTGATAAATTATCCTAAACGTCAATGGTCTTAATGTTAATTTTGCATCTTATATTTTTTATATATTAGTTTTAAATTTGATAGTATACCAACAAACTCATTTTACAGAACGAGTGGATAATCGACTCTCAGCGGGAAACGCCAGAAACGCCTACGCAACAAGATGGCGTGTCGCTACCAGTAGATCTCACACTGGCCGACGGCCTCATTGCTGTCTGCGAAGACAATGCAATTGTCTGGGTATCGTAACCGGAAGGCATATTGAGAATGCGGGTGATTTTTTATGCTGTCATTCAAAAAAAATATCGAAAGATCCTCACTCACTCATCTGTTTTATGCACCAAGTAATTACCACAAATGTCTCAATAATATTTTTATTACTCAGATAAAGTGATCATTTTATTTTACATTGTAAAGTTTGTAACTTGCCTTTTACTCCAGCTTTTGCAAAAAAAAAACAATATTTTTATTCTTAGCTGCGTTCACGTCTCTAACATCAACTCTTCTAGAAGTTTCTTTACACGTGTGTTTGTGGATTTGCTTTTTTATTGAATCACTCCATTTTAAATTAATTTACTTTAATGAAAAGCTATTTCTTAAAAAAACTGTTGTGCATGCATATAAAAACATTTTCTTATGTGCAAGTTCTCTGGTAATCATATATTTCTCAACGCAATTAAATGCGTGTTTAGTGCGAATTGTTTTTATGCATTGTAACAAAACGTAAATTACGCCATTTCAGAATGTTCTCATTCCTAACACCTATTAGTGCAACGTATTTATTAACAGTGGTGAAATTTCATAAATTTTATTCAAAATGTATTAATTATTTATAAACATAGTAAATAGTATTTAGTATAATATACAATACATAAAACACCCTGTCCAAACTGGTGGGGGACACAGACGTACCGCAAGGACATTATCAAAACAATAAAATGAAAATATTTTTATAATTAACTATATTCATTATAATATTCTTTTAAAATAACGTGCTTTTACTACAGTTAGCTGAAAATTTAGCAAATTATTAAAATCTGGCAACACCGTCGTCCGCGACGATATCGGGTGCGATTGCAATTATCCAGCGTTTGGTTATTTTTTAAATACCGGTAGAATATCGGAATTCGCAACACCAGTGTCATCTTAAGCTTCGTCAAGTGAAGAGGTATTCACAAGCGTTAGCGCAGGTGCTATAGCAGGATTTTGTATTACAACCTTAATATCGTGATTGAGGCTTGACATTTGTCAATGCGGTAAATATTGTTTTAAACACGTGTTAATTCCGCCACTGAATCGATTAGCCGTGGGTTTCGTTTCTAAAACAACAAGAAGATGTCTACGGCCATTTCAGAAATTATACGAAAACATTTACCGCGCATATCCGCGCATACTGCATAAGTATCATGTTAGTTTTACTAGAAAAGCACTATTCTCTTAAAATATAACCTTGAGATTTATAATTAGACAACATAGATCTTGTTTACTCCTAAAATAATAAAAAACAACACGAATGTACGCACTCCCTCTGTTAAACAAAATTCTCATCTAATAATACTTCTCTGTATCTCACAAATTTCTTTTACAATAACGGGAACTTATCTATATTAAGTGCCCCGTGGCTAAGCTATCGAAGCAGAAAGCAAAGTCGATTATTAGTTTTCGAAATTTCGCTTAAAATATACGTTAGATATTTAATATTTAATCGGAAATGGTCAGCTGGTAAGCATGTAAGTTTCCTTTTTATAATAAATTTTATTTTGTTTTTTGCCGGGCATTTTATTTACTCATTATTGTCAGAAGGAAGTACAGAACTATTCTACCTACAGGCACCCTCACGAATAAAACAGTTTTTTTACATATTGTATATTATATAGCACATTAAAAGCAGATTTTTTTCACATATGTTTGCTTGTTACAATAAATTTTTAGAGTTCTGTGATATAGAAAATGACTGAATTTTTACAGACGTAGTTTTTTTAATCACTATAGCAAATTTTAAATACATATAATCAGCAAATATAAAATTATCAGAATCAGTGCATCTGTTAATAATTAGGACAGTTTAAAAAAAATTATTTTACATTTAAATTAAAGCACTTTGTTGCAATGTCCTACTAATAAAAGATAATATATTACACAAAGTAATAATAATAACGATGTAGATTTGTATTTGGGCTACGCCATTTGAATCTGATAAATAAATAAAACAGATAGTATAAATAAATATTTTGAATTTTACAAATAAAAATGTAATATTTACATATTATCCATATTGATCGCAAGTTTTACCCAGTTTAAGTCGGCCATGTAAATTTCATAATGACGTTTGTTTTACCAGTGCAATTATAACAAATGAAAATGTTTGATACAATCCATTAGAATACATTAGCCAATTTTAGGTTGTAAAAATGTTTGGGAGTTACGGGCGGACGTGGAGCACACATACGCTACCAGCGACGAATATTATCCTTTTTTAGCTCCGCTACAATGTTAATAATATGCCTTTGCCATATTGTATAAAATCTTTATTGGGGATCCTCTATTAGGGATCCGAATACTAATAATTCAAAAAAATACATAGTAGGCTTGAGGCTATTAATATAGGCGCACCGCGGTAAAAACAACCATCCTTATAAATGGTACGTGAGAGTAATATGGTCATCCGGTTAATATGTTCACTTTCTTATAACTCAAAAACTACAGCCTTGTTTGCATCTGCTGTCATCTGTCAATCAAATAAGACAGGGTCAAAAGGGCGCTGCTTTATCGACGCCATTGTTATGTATATGTTTACACTTAGTATTTAGTAGTAGTTATACACTTATTATTTACAGTTAGTATATTTGCATATATAGTGATTTTCTTTTTTTTCACTAATCCAACATATAATATTAATATAACTAATTTCGGTCTATAAAATCGAATATTAATAAATTGGCTACAGCGCTACCTATCAAATTCTGGCATCGATTTTATAAAACAAATATATTGTGTAAATAGACCTCTATCGGTCAAATCGTTCAAAAGTTATACGATCGCTAACAGATTATATATAATAACTAAATATGGAAAAAGTTTGAAACCCTAGTCTTTGTAGAAGCGAAGGAGAGACTAGGAAGCGAAGGAGACAATAATGCCACAAATGTACGCGCTAATCATACAGACGCTGTCGCATCTACCCATGCCCGATGTAACGTTTAGGCCGGCTGCACATGTTGGCTCCACCGCTACTCTAAGGCCGGTTTTAGAGCTCGACCGAACGTCGGTGCGTACGTCTGTCGCGCTTGATTTTTCTATGAAAATTCATAAGTCGTTACAGTGCTCGACCGACCGTACGCACGCTTATATTGCTACGCATACGCACTGCGTACGAGGACCGTCGGTCGAGCGCGTCCGCATGCGTACCGTCGGTCGACCGACGCGCTATGGAACCTTTTTGACGTTCAGTGCTACACCGACCGTACGGATGCGTGTATCATCGTCAAGAAAATCGAACCTAAACTTTAATAATATTGTATGATTTTATAGGTATTAAGTAGTGTTAGTGATTTGAGTAATTTTTATCAAACATGGCATATGTCGGCACCGAACGCCTCGCGGATGTTTTAAGTTGTCTTGTGATTTCACTGATAATTCATCAAAAACTTTTGATTGACATTCTAAAGTAATTAAAAAAAATTCCTCATCTTCGCGCAATAATGAATACAAAGTAGTAAATTCCCCTTGAAGTGCTCTATGGGCGACGATTGGGTGAACCTGATATCTACGTCTTCTGTTACTTATATAGGTTTACGAACATAGTAAGCAGAAATTAAACAATTAACGCGTCCATTTCGTGTACGTGTTGGTGACTGTACCAGTCCGGCCAGTTTATTTGCTCAGGAGAGCTCTGAATGCTACAAACTGACGATCGGTTATGTGTATTGTATCGTCAGGACCGATGGTGCGCACTGACGGTCGGTTGAGCTCTAAAACCGGCCTTATACTGTTCGCCCAACATGCGACTCGACAAAATAGCATTGATTCCAATACCAGCGCTGTCTTAGGTATGGCGATGTTTGCACTGGCAGGTGTGGATATTTTTGATGCAATAATCCGAAAAAAGACCGTATCTTTGTTAAACAGAGTGCGCGGCACTCAGCACAATGTGGCTTACTTTGTGCTGAGTGAGATTGCTGACAGTGGGGACTGTCCACTGGTCAAAAATACGATCTCCAGGACCATGTCCCGCTTAATAATTAAATATTAAAAAAAGTATAAATTATATTACTAACATAGATGTAAGTTTTTCTCTACTAACAATTCCTATGAATTCAAGTTGTCAGAAATAAAGAATTTTTATTTTTATTTATTTATTTAGGTAAATGGCTGGCCTATGTCGATTTCGTCAAAGAAAATACTCGCGATTGATCCATACTTTGGAACTACAGTCAATAAAGTCAATCAAAATAAATGTGACTGCCTCATTGGTTTAGTAGTTATTTAATGCGACTGCTGATAATGAGGTTTTGGGTTCGAATCACGGTTCGGGTCAAAAAAATTATTGGGTTTTTCTGTCAAGAAATTCTCAGTAGTAGTCCGAAGTCATCATCATCCCCGTGTCTCAAAACGTACGTTAAGGCGTTAGCCCTGGACCTGCTCTCTCTCCGGCCGCATCATATGACCGTCGCATCGGACTATAAGAGAGAATTAATAAAGAGTGCTCTTGTGTTTGCAAAATTCGGACTGGAGGTCTTTAATAGTATCCACTCAGTATCGTAAAAACACTTAGAACAATTTCTAAAACAGATATCTTCTCAATGGCTCTGCTTAGACTAAACTAACATAATCTCCAACGATTGGATGCAAATCAAAATCACAGAGTAAGGAGTAAGGTCGGTTTTTTTACGGATGTGGCAAAATCACCTTGTTACCAACATTTGGTTGGCTATGCAGTAATGCTATGGAAGAAGGTTAAGATCAAGTGTCAAATGTTCCAGATCCAGGAGGCAATCACGGAACAAGCAGACATGAAAACTAGCAATTTGCGCGAACATAATGGAAATGAAAATGAAAATTAAAAATGATTTATTGATTTACATAGATACATTTTAAACCAGTCGCAAGGGCTCCTGTACTAGGTTGGGAACCTGTATTACTTACTGGGTATAATGGCTTCTTATATTTACGCGTATACTGTACGTTGTGGAAATCTAACTTTAGGAATTTTATCGCGTTTAATGATAAAGATGTTTTTTTTTTAAATAAAATTGTGACGACGAACGAACTTAATAAGTAGCTAACCGCAATCCATGAACATCTGCATCCAAATGAGGACTAAGATGTAATGCCTTTCAGCCTATCCCAAAAAACCTATACGGGCTGCTCACACTATTCAGACCAGAACACGACAGTGCAGGCATTGCTAATAAATTGCAGAGAAGTAAATCCATTAAACATATACCAGAATAAAATACCGTTATAATCAGTAACATCCGATAAAAACGAAACAGAAACAAAAAGTCTATTGCTGGCTTTTCCCTCCGAGGAAGAGTTTGGTGCATTCACCAAGATTGGCAAAAATACTCGTGGTTGATGCCCATAGTAAAAGCCTCGCTTCGACCACGTCGGTGGTGTGAGTCTTTGCGATGATCCGATATATCGGCTGCTATTCGATTTTCTTGATATTTGGGGAATTTCACACAATAAAGCACTGCACCATCCTTTAAATTGCGACCACACAGCGAATTTAAATATAGAATAACTAACAAATCAAAATTTTGAAACCTATGAACTTACATCGTATAATGAAAATAATAATTGAGGGAAATACTATACATACATAATAATATCACTTCGATTGTTTTAAACTTAGCCTACTTGCAGGAGGAGGACATCCCAGCTACAGTGCTCTGACAACAGAAAGCTAAGTCTTAACGTAATTATGTTGTGGCCTTAGCCTCATCACCGCATTTGTCACCATCACCCGCTACCTTACCAACCATCATCTGCTTATCACCAGCATTAAAGCGCCAACAATTTGGTGTCAAAATGTTTGCTTACAAATTCCGAACGCGTCTTTACGATCTGTCAATGGCAATACCAAAGACGTTCTTTTATTTTGTAAATAAAGAAGTTTGTTTTTTTATTAATTATTTTGTTTTATTTTTTAAACCCTTTGGATTAATATTTATTTTTATTATGTGTAATTATGTTTACAAACCTTACTAAATGTATTATAACCGATATTATCAAAGGTCTGAATAAAGACTAGTTACATTAAACCAGTATAAAAAATTAACAACAAGAAATAATAAAAATGTCCTTTTCCACTTTTCTTATAGGTGTATGGAAAATAATAGTTTTTTTTTAAATTGACCACCATTAAAACCAATGATTATTTTTGCCGTGATTATATTTAAATAAAATATAATCCCGGCAAAAATAATCATTTATGCATATATAACGAGTCTCTAACGTTAATTTGAACCCACCCATAAATATAAATAAAATGTATAATTTCGAGTGTTAAGATGTTGATTTACAAATAAATAAAACGTATTTTTTAAATAAATTAATTAAAAATTATAGAACTGAATCTGTCATTTCAAGATTTGCCTTCAGCGTTATTCGATAATAATAATAATAATAAACACGAAATGAATCTAGAACCCTATTATAAGCAATAATATTCGACAAAATTATAGAAAACTTCACCATTGATGTCTATTTTTATCTGCCATAATTAAGAATATTTATTACTTTTATTTCCTGAATATTATTTAATAATAGATACGGTAATAATATGTATCTACCTTTTATCCTAAAGTAGGCAAATATTTATACTAGCTAATATTTTCTGTCAAGGACAACCATATATATTATGGATTATTTAGGTAAATATTTTTTAAATATTCTACGACAAAAAAGTATAAATTAAAAAATCCCAAGTTAAAAAAGCGGCATATTGTTGTTACTCTTAATCCGTGTTAGGAAACCCACAGTTTGAATAAGAATCTTTTTAATTTATATACATATCATGCAAGGCGCAAAATTATATAACGCGTACAGTTTTCATATCATCCTGTTACTATATAATATCTTAGCTTTCAGAGCATGAAAATGTTATTGATGTTAAGAACAACTGAGGGCTTATACTTAAATAATGTTGAAAAAGCACTGCCTTACATATTAGGTAATTTTTTCTAATTTATTTCATAAAAGGCCTGTGCTAAGCTTAACGCGTAGCGGATTCGTCTTCATTGTTCGACGGCTCGCGTTAAAGTAGGTATTAACGGGCAAACTGATTTAAGTGGCAACTATTTTATAAATACACACATGTAATGAAGTATTTTATGGATAGAAATCGCGAGCTTTTTTTATAAGATCTTTACAACAGGATTGCATTATGTGATAAACATGTTTAAAAAGCGATATCCAATTTTTGAAACCGAAGTTACAGATAGTCATTCCTTCCTATTTATAATAATTAATATTGTATACATATATTGAGTTACGTTATTACAGATTTTATTATTGTTAATCTTATTTACATGTTCTAACAAATTAATTTCATAAATTGGATCATCTGAAATTTAAATTATAACATCGAAATTAACAACTATTTTCTAAAAATCGCCTTTCAGTCTAAGGACAATGGCCACTTTTCATCTATAAAAACAATATAGTTTTTTCCCGCCAAGAAATCTTAAAATCAGTACATTAAAAAAATAGTTTACGGCAACACTAAAATAAGTATTTTCTATGTTTTGGGGTCCAAAATGACCATTGTCCTTTTTATGCTATTATCCCTATTCTGTCTAACTGATTTGTTGTGCAATACTAAAACACTGGTTTAAAATATTATAATGTTGAAGAGTATGGCTTTTTATACACATGGCGCATGTAGATTGTATTCTATGGTAGGTGGAATGTATAGGTATGCTGCAATGTTTTGTTGAAAAAAAAATCACTTTTTTTTAAATTTTGTATCATCTTCGAATGTCATTGATAATCAGTATCGTGTTGTTTTTTTTTAATGACTATGTTTGACTAAGCATTGCAGCCAACTTTTTGTATTGACTCAAGTGGTAGCTGATTGTATGATGACACAATAATTATTATGGTAATAAATTGAAACAATATTAGTTACTTGTTACATGTATAATTAAACGGTATATACTGTGGGGTCGTATTGTTTCACAAGTTGTATAGACCGGAATTATGCTGAAATTATAAAAAAATACCAGTTCTTTGAATATATAATAACTTCATATTATACTGAGTGATGTTGTTTTTGTATAATCCTTCCCCTTTTATCCTCCTATATTCACCTGAAATTTAGAACAAAAAGTCCCTAAATAACTTAAAGTTTTCAAAATATCTAACTTCAAAATATAAAAGATAGGATAACGACTGGTAAATAAGATATTTTTAGAATAAGGGTGACAAGCGAGCACAGCGTAGTCCACTTGATGGTGAGCGGATGCTGTGGCCCACAGACTTCTACATCTATCCCTGATTAAGAAACAAAATTAAAATGCATTGTCACCACTGCAGACTAAGATGGAAGCCTAGTTTCTAGTATTAATTCTCCAGTTTTCAACTCTCGCCATGCGAAACACAGCTGCTAATAAGCTGCTTTTTATGCTGGTTTCTGTAAGAACACGGTCCTGTCAATATTTGTGCTGCGTCTCATGAACTTTTAAGAAATTGAACAGTTTTACTGTTAGGAGGCACGTCATCTGTGCATTTTATGGTGAACTTCTAGCGGGTAGCTGCTCCCCGCATTTTGTACGATTAATTTTAACTTTGCAAACACATTTTCTGCAATGCCATCTAGAGCAATCATTAAAAACTAATTTCTTAAGTTTAATGCATGCTACTGGTCGGTAGGTGGATATAGCAGCAACATTTTTTATTTAAATAAAATATTATTATACAAAACTATATTTTTAAATTTTTTTTATTGTTTTTAAAATTTTAAAACCGAATACCTATTTTGTTGCAGTTAATAAACTGCAGGAATACACTCGACAAAATCGAATTATAAATCAATTAAACTATTTGGACTTTTCTTACTGTCAAAAGCGAAGCTAGCGCACAATCAGAGAGTGGTTAAAATTGGAATTATTAAAATTGAGGTCTTCAGCTATCCGCCGCTAGACAGAGCTTTAAGTCGCAAAAAAACTACAATTCTTATACTTGATTAGCTTATCCTATTACTAAATTTAGTGGTTGGATTTCAATGTGAATTTTTTAATTACTTAAAAAATATCCAGATATTATGCTTAACTGCACTGGTAACTTGAAATTTACCTCATCTAGTTCATCTAGTTGGTTAGATAAGGTTTTAAAAACAGAACTGAAACAAAATGAGTTCGAATCGAATAAAGTAAACCTAATTTGAGACGAAATTCGGGATTAAGGCTGGTGTTCGATGCAAAAATTATACGTAATTAAAGTCAGTATCCAAGAAAAAAAAATTCATCCTTTTAAATCTCTTTACAATCTGTTTAGTAAGGCGTTACCTTGTAATCTGCAGTGAGTTGGGAAGTAACCTGCGAGGGCCGTGAAGCAAAGGCGAACGGTAAAGGCTCAGAGCCTTACCGAACACTGTAGACATAAAGAGCACATCGAAGAAACGGGAATAACACTATTCCAATACTAGGCTCAGACGACTGAGATACTAGGATCAACTTTGTAAAGGTAGATTTTCTTACAGGAACTGAAGACTGCAGACAATGTGAGCTCGGGAACGAATGGAAGGAAATCTTGCGTTTACGAAAGTTTGTAAAAAAATTCATCTAAAATGAGAATTTTTAGAAAAAATATCCTCAGCAATATTTCTAATCTTCTAAAACAGATATTGTTGCTTTTTTATAGGATAAGGTTACAAACTAGCGCACAGTCCACCTGTTGGTAAGTAAATGCTGTGGCCCATAGACATCTGCAATCAAGAATCAAAATGCAGATACGTTGTCAGCCCTGAGAACTGAGATGTTCTCTACACTTACCATACGAAACACATCAGTATTAAGCTGCTATTTTACGCTAGTATTCTGTGAGAGCGTGGTCCTTCCCCGGTCGAGCCGACCCATTCGTGCTACAACCTCAATATAGCTGCAGCGTGGCTCTACCACGTAAAAACGTACCATGTGTTACTTGACTATCTGTCACATAATTTAAATAAATATAGCTATAATTGTGTTAAAATAATAATGTAGTTTAATGCAAGGCCTTGTGTTGCCAGGTTAAAAATTAAATAGATTACAGTAGTACTTATGGCCAAATACCCAAACGCTACTCAATTTTAAAATGTCGGTAAGCCTCCTGGTATCACGGTTACTTAGACGTAAATGTATACAGACAGCACGAGAAAATTGGGTAACGAAGTACGTAAGAAAAGTTTGAGTATTTTGACATTATTGACTCTACTCGGTCTTTTGTATTAAATTTAAAGTAAAGTGTAAAACCATATTTTTGTTTATAAGATTTATTTAGCCTTTTAACATTTTACATTTTTTCTCACTTTGTTTTTTAGTGTGTGCAGTAAAAAATATCTATCTATAAATGCTTCTTTATTTTTTATTTACTTTCATAGCGTAATGTCTTATGGAGTTTTGCTATGGGGTAATGCGAATGACATTGATGTCATATTTGTTTTGCAAAAGAGAGCCGTACGATTTATAACTTTAATTGTAAAGAGTCCCTTAGACAAAATTAAAAAATAATAATTTGGAATCGAAATATATTTGTGAAAATGTAATGTATGTACTTAAAAACAAAAATAGCTTTGATAAGAATAAAGATGTAAACACTAGAAACAACATAAGCTTGTAATACCAGTTACTAGACTCCACAGAATTAGTAATTCATTCATGGGGCAATGTATACGCTTTTACAACAAAATCCAG